CCTGTCTTAAATAACAACAACCACTACCAAGAGTTCCAGGACAGCCAGGGCTACACAGAGAAACCATCTCAGAAGGCAGGCAGCAGTTGGGGGGAAAGTAATTCCTAAACAAAGTTCCACTTGAGAATTGTCCCCACGGGCTGGTCCTGGTTGTGGCGGCACTGGCTTTAGTAACAGAATGCAATCTGAGTCACAGCTCACTTATTAGTTGATCATGTAGACTCAGGCCGGGTTCTCACCACGCTGCTCTTGCAGCACAGCCTGTCCCCAGGCTCCTGGAGAAGCAGCCTGCCTGCTGACTTGGAGCTGAGTACTGGACACACTGCTGCTCCCATGGCCCTCCCCAGGCACTTGGCCAGCCTCAACCCACTCACTGGAGCTTGTGGAATCCTTCAAAGCCAGCAGCCACGTACTGTCCTCCATTCTGCAAGTCAGCCAGCTCAGTGACGGGGTGGCCATCGCAAAGTCTGTAGAGGGCACGGATAGCCAGTGGGGCCTGCACCACTGATGTCACCTCAGAGAGGAAAGCCTCCATGGTGGGGTAGCGGCGTTGGGTCACCACCAGCTGGCGGCCTGGGAAAAAGGGGTCCCCGTTGCGATACACCAGTACTCTCTTGGCTGCCATAGTATATCCTCACTCACAGACACAGAGCGGTTGCCAAGCAACTAAGCCAGGGCTGGGAGCTATGCCAAAGGTGGAGTCCTGCCTTCTTATCCAGGAAGGCTTCAGGCACCTTGGACAAGTGCATTCTCCTGAATGCAGGGTCTCAGATCTGCACTTGATGGGCCTCACATGTGCAGGGTAGATACGATCATATTTTTTCATTTGCTTGCAGAGCTGGGACCAAACCCTGGCCCTTCTATGCTAGGTGAACACTAGTACTGAGCTGTCTGTGCAGCCCAGTCTGCTCACATTACAAAAGGTAGACCTGGGGCTCAGCGGGAGGAAGACGAAGATTCACACACACATCCAATCTTCTCCAGGGCTTGGGCTCCTTCAAATTGAGATCAAGCGTAATCAGTCTGGGGGCTGCTCCCCAAGGAGGATGCTAGCTGTCTTTGGGGATGCTGCGCTGTGTGAGTGGGAGATGACCCAGGTGGACCAGAATCAGTCCTGGTCAGATGCACGAGATAAAAGCAGACAAGCTCATAACCAAGAAAAACTTTTATTCTCCACGATCCTCCCACCTTCCTTACCCCAAGGGAAGGTAAAATTTGGATGAAGTCACAGGCAGAGGCTAAAAGGGCAGGCCCTTCTTTCCCCTGCTGTGCCAGCACAATCCTGCAGCTTGGCCTGACAGCTACCAATGGCCAGGAGCAAGGGCAGGAGACAGAGGTGGAACCAGGTCCCTTAACGCCTTTTCATAGCATCCTCTTTGGGAACCTACTCTCCTGGATCCTCGGGTCTTGCCGGATGGTCCTGTTTTCGTGGACTACTCGTCCTCTGATCCTCTCTTGGGGAAGACAAGATCTTCACCTCCGCAGCAGAGTCCTCTGGTTTGCCCACCCTTCCTCACTAAGCTCACTGGTAGTTCCATGGCTGGAACTCCTAGCACGGGGGTGCTGGCTCTTGGGTGGCTTAGTCCTTCTGAGATCCAGGCTACCATGTTCCAGCCCTGCCGATGTCCCATCCCAAATCACGTGGCCTTCTGAGGTGCTCAAATCATGTGGCCTAGCTCTTTGGCAGTCGGCCTCTCTGTAGCTCGGCTTTCCGGGGTTTGTGTCCACGGTATTTGGATGTCCACAGAGGGGGGGCAGCTGTGTCATGGCCTTTGCAGAACAAGGACTCCAAGACTTGGGGTCCCCAAGGGTCTGATCCTCTAGGAGAGTCAACTGCTGTAGGCAGGTTTCATGAAAGGCCTGTCCTCCGTGATCTGGCCCTTTGATGGCCCTGTCCCCTCTGGCCTGGCTGTCTAATGCTGCAGGCAGCTGCGGTCCAGCCTTTCTGTAGCACAGTTCCCTGCCCTTAGCCCCCACTGTGTCTTTGCCTGTACTGGCTAGTCTGTATGGGGGTTTCTGGGGCTGCGATCTGCCCTTGTGGCAGGAGTCATCCGCAGAGTGTGGCTCTCCTACGGTCCTGTCCATACACAACTGGTCCTTAAGGAGGCAGCTGGATTGCAGCCAGGTCTTCCCACAGGTCTGTCCCCTGTGGTCCAGGCACGCGTCAGGCTTGTCTCTGGTCTGGCTTGCTTCTGGGGATCTCAGTGTTTGCTTGAGAATGAGGTACTGTTCAGAAAGAACAGGAACAAGCTCGCACAGGAATGGCAGCAGGCCCCTCCCCACCCTTGACCTGTTTAGAAAGGTTCTCAGTTAGTGCCTACCTCCTTCCGGCTGTTGATGGCCTGTTGCAGCCACAGCAGCTCCATGGCCAAATGGTTGCGCTGGCCCTGGAGCTCATGTTGTCTCTGGGACAGTCTCAGATCTGTGACTTCTTTGAAGAAAGGAGGAAAAGGAGAATGCCTTGAGGGGTAGACACTGGGAACTAGTCCAGTCCTAGATCCTGGCAGCCTCCATGTTCATCAGGCAGGCAGGGGGAAGGGGTGAGGAAGGGCAGTAACAGACCTCCTCCAAGTTCGTCAGGCAGGGGGAAGGGCAGTACAGCCCTCCCTGTTCATCAGGCAGGGGGAAGGGGTGAGGAAGGGCGGCAACTTATCCTGCACTCTCCTGTGTTTCAGCTGGGAGGCAGAGGCCCAGAGGTCAGGGGCTTGCCCTGATCTAGGCAAAGCGGTACTTACCCGCATTGTCCACCTCGGACACGGAGATATCTCTGGTCTTCTCCTGGCTGGCTCTCCTGTCCTGCTCAGTCTGAAGCCAGGAGCCGTCATCTTGGCAAAGACTTCCTGGTTTTGCTGGGCTCCCTCCTGTCTTCAACACCATCTCCTCCAAGATGACGTCTTTCTCAGAGTCTTTACATGGGAAATGGCTCCAAAGTTTCTGCTCCGGGTTTGGTATTTTCTCTGCTTTCCAGGAGCAATGAGATTTTGCCTTGTGAAAAATCAGAGAGGTATGGGAATCAAAGGGTTAACCCCCCTCAGATGTCTGGAAACCAGTCTAATAGGTAGGGCGAAGGATTGAAGTGTGAGTGATTCTGGCCTTGGGGACACAAGGCAGACACATAGTATAGACCGTTTCCCAGAACCCTGTACCAGAACCCTGGGGTATATACTACCTCTGGGAGAAATATGGGCTTGGGAATCCAGCCCCCAGTCCACCGAAGTGTGCTGAGGTCACCCTCGAGCTCCTGTACAACTGCTTCATACTCAGCTCGAAGGCTCTGGAATTGACGCCGGACCAAGAAGCCCCGGATACAAGCCTAATGTGGAGAAGCAGGGAAAATGCCTCTTAACACTTTTACAAAAGGGGCATCTTGAGCCGGGCGGTGGTGGCGCAAGCCTTTAACCCCAGCACACACACACAAAAGAAAGAAAAGGAAGGAGAAAGAGAAAGAAAAGAAGGAAGGAAAAGAAAAAAGGTATCTTGGCAAACACGCTCGATTTTGTGGTTATTGGCGGCTGGAGAATCGAACCCAGGGCCTTAAACATGCTAGTCAAGCGCTCTACTTCTGAACTACACCCCTAGCTCAAAAGAGAGATGTTTCTTGGAGAGGTCATGGCGGGGCGGGGAGGGGCGCCAGAGAAAACACAGTTATGGGGAAGGGACAGGCAACCTTGGTTTGGAGCTCTGGGAGGTGGAAAGTGCTGGGCTGGACCCTCCCCCTCGCTTTAAGGTTCTTCTAGCTCTTCCGACCCCGCCCCTGCAGGACATTCTTCAGTGCCATGCGGGTAAGGGACGCCACATGACAACTTCATCTTGCCGAAGGTCCCGGTCCCTAACCCGAGGTGCACTTGCTCTATCACGACCTGCAATGCCGACACCCTCTGAAGAATCAGGCCGGAGTCCATTTCGTCGCCAACCGCCCTGTGCTGTGCATCCTCCGCATGCGTGCGCTTGCGCAGTGCACCTTTAGGCTACGCCGCTCTTGAGCAGGCGCAGACACAGGGCCCCGCCCGTCATTTCCAGAGTCACGCACAAGGCTTCTTCCGACCCAACTGTGCACCTCATCCGGTCCCGCCCCGAGCCTTTCTTCTCGACCCAGTGTGCGGCACGGTAAAAGCAAGAAGGACACCGGAAAGGAGCGGCTTTTCCGTTTGTTTAATTCCATCCAGTGCCCCCCACTTCATAGCACCTGGGGGGCTGCGGAACCCTCCCGAGTCCGTAAAAAGTCACAGTTTGAAGGGAAGGAGAGAAGCAGCTAGGCCTGGGTCCGACACCTACGACGCTGGCTGCTCCTCAGGCTCAGCGTTCTCTGCCAAGTGCAGCTTCTGTCTGTGCCAGTCAAGGACTGTAACGCTTTGGACCCCAGTGTTTCCACCTACCTACCTTCCTCCCCATCCCGCACAGGCTGTGTGTGTGTCCAGTGCCACCACACCAGGCCACAGGCTAAGTAAGGATGATTATGAAAAGCTTCAAGGGTAGGAGAACGTCAGCTTCTGAGACTGTAATCGTGCCAGGGCTTGCCTCTGCTTTCTGAAGGAGGGCCACCACTCGTGATGCCATTTTCTCTTAGCAGTCAGGAAATTCTACATTCCTCTCACATGCGGAGAGCTTGTGGCTAACTCTGAGTCAGGATTGCAGGAGATGGGAATGGATGGGAATGTTTGCTATGTGTGCACACGCCCAGAGGGAGGCAGGATTTCTCCCCCTGCTGAGACTCACGACCCTACCAAGCCCCTTGGAAAGGATACATGGAATTGCTAAGATCTTCTAGCTGTCAATAGAGAGAAAAGGAGGTTTCTGTCAGGAGGGGACCCAGAACAAACGCGGATACTCAGGGGAAGCCCTATTAGTGGATCTGGAGGAACTCGCAGATCTTGGGTTCATGTACCCCCAGACTTTCACTGGGAGAGTTGGGAACCTGTGCCCTCTCCACCCTTGGTACCCCCCAGGATCCCAAACAGTCAGTTTTATGACCCACATTGCTAAGCAGCTGGTCCAGGTTTCGGTCAGCCATTGTCTTCTTCTGCTCCTCAGGCAAGCCCTCTGTGACCCCATCATCTTCCTCGTCCTCGTCCTCCTCCTCCCCACACACGTCCAGGCTGAAGTGCAGTCTGGCCAACTTCTCCTGCATCTCCCGCACGTGCTCCAGCTGCTCTAAGGAGCATTCCTTCCCTGGACAACTCCTGAGTTTAGGAGCCAGCCTGGGACCCTAGCCCCAGGAGGTCTCCAGACTAGGACCTCCAGCACCATCCACAGAACTCCCCTGCCCCTGGACTTACCAAAGGCCTGCAGGCGACCCGAATGGAAGTCATTGAGCAGGTTCAGCAGCCCCCCCTCCATCTCGTAGACATCGGTCACTTCAGTCAGGAAGGAGTGTTGCAGGGGCGTGCCTGCAGAGCCGCCCCCACCTCCAGCCAGCACCGGGCGGCATTTCTCCTTGCCTACTCTGGGTGAAGTGGACATGACCATGGTCATGGGTGTTGGGAACGGCCAGGCACGCCCACATCTCTGGTGCCATGTCTCTCTGTACTACTTCATCTGCCCAGCCCACTCACCAACACAAATGGATGTCTGTTCTGAGGTCTTGCCCTGAGCAGTGGGATGGGGAGAGGGAAAGGAGCTAAGGAAGGAGAGGAAGGAAGAGGACAGAAAGTCTGTTTCCGTGGTGCTGCAGCCGGAGCTGTGCCTGCAAGGAGATGGACCCAGCCTCCTGTCTGAGAGCCCACGTAGCTCCTAGGACTCTGGGTGGGTCACTCAGCCTTGGCCTTCCTTTTTTTTTTACTGCCAGCAAAGCACCTCCCACCAAAAAATTTTCCTGCTCTCTTTCCAAAACTGTTGTGAATTTTCCATCTCCTGGCAGGCGTGGCTCTGGCTGCAGCAGGGTAATATATTCTGCTCCCCAGAGTAACAGTGAACACTCCAGTCAGCCAGGCCTGCCTTCCTCTCCTGCTGCATCCCCTACTATCCAAGTAGCCCTGAGCTTCAGCTACAGCTTCGATAGCCACCCTGGCCCATGCTGGACGGGCAGATGGTACAGACGTCCACAGGAGCACGGCTTTTATAGAATGCTAGGGAAAGGAACACACCACACCGTATTCACGGGAACAAACGGGGACAACTATACTGTAGGATCCAAATTCTTTTTTTGTTTTGTTCTTTTCAGTCAGGGTCTCACTACACAGCCTTGGCTGGTCTGGAATTCACTGTGTAGACCAGGCTGGCCTCATAGAGATCTACCAGCCTCTGCCACCCAGTGCGAGGATTCAAGTTATGTGCCACCCATGACGGGTGTGGTGGCACATGCTTTTAATTCTCGCACTTGGGAGGCAGAAGCCAGATCTCTCTGAGTTTGAGGTCAGACTGGACTACAAAGCAAGTTCCAGGATAGCCAGGGCTACAAAAAGAAACCTTGTCTCAAAAAGAATAATAATAACATAAAAAGAATTGAGCAGAGAACTTAAATAGGCTAGGGAGGTCGCTCCGTGGTAGAGCGCTTGCTTCGCATGCCCAATATCTTGAGGTCAATTCCCCAGCATCTCTAAGATGAAATAAAAGGGGACAAATGGCCAGGCAGTGGTGGTGCACACCTTTAGTCCCAGCACTTGGGAGGCAGAGGCAGGTGGATCTCTGTGAGTTTGAGGCTGATAGGGGGACAAATCTTTGCGGAGGGGAGGCGTTTATTCAGCACTCCTGGAGCCTTCCAGCAATAATGTCTTTGTTTTCATGCCCTGCAAGCTTTTCAGCTCTGAATGTTCTTCCCTGTCAGGGAGTCCAGCATCTTCCTCTGCAGAGATACAGCCCCACTCTGTGTGGTCTCAGTGTCTCCCTGCTTTCTCTCTGTGCATCCGAGAGCAAGCTCTGGGTCTCAATCCCCACCCCACCCCCATGAACGTGGAGCCAGTACACACGAAGGCATCAATTACCGTGTGGCAGCTAATGTCTGGGGTCCTCCTTCCCATAGTGCTCAGCCCATAGCTGAGGGTCCTGCATTCTTGCCGAACACCCTTCTTGTACTCACCTCTTGAACTTGGTTCGCTGCTTGGGTGATGGCAGATGAGGGAGTCCCAGGGCTAAGGAGCCACTGTGGCTGGTTGGCACAGGAACTCTCCGCAGTGTGCCTGAGGCCTGGGCTGGTTGGGCCAGGCAGGGCTTAGGACTCCTCTTCTTCTTTTTGTCATCCATTGGGTGCTTGATTGGACCTCAGGCCTGGGAAGGAAGATGAGGAGAGGGCCAAACCGCCCCTTCACTCAGTGCTCTTCAGAACTGACAAGAACTTGTTCCTGTCCAGCAGTCAGGAGCTCTGTCCTTTTGTCTGTACAGGGCCCAATGCCAGCCTGTTGCTGGACAATAGCTATGCATCTGAAGGACCTTCCAAGGCTACTCAATGCCCTTTCCTTCCCAAGAACCCCATGGGCCTGCCTGAGAGGGCTGGAGTGGACCCATCTTGCTGTTTTCCTGCCACTGCGGCCTACAAGCCTGGGGCTGGAGAGGTGGCCGTGACTAGGGGAGCCAACTGAGGATCGGGTGTCTTAACGAGGCCCCGCTCTGTAGGAAATATGACCAAGGTAAGGTGGGGCACCGGGGAAGGCTCTAGTGTCAACCTGTCCACCACGGTGACTAGGAATGATTGACTCACAGCCTCACCTCCCTTAGATACCGGCATTTCTCTTCCACTTCAACTGCAAATACCAGGGGTGCCTAGGAGGTCCCTGGGACAGCTTCTAGCCTTTTCCAGTGAGAGTCTCTGGGGCTGGCTCTCCACTGATGTCTCCAACTATGGCCGGCACAGTTTAGCCTCGCTCTCATGCAGCCCTACCGCCTAGGCACCTGGTCTGCTGGGGCCTTCTCCATGGGGTCCCGGTCCAAGATGCTGTCAAAAAGCTGTTGCTTCACTCCTGAGATGGCGATGATGGCGTAGGAGCATACACATTTATGTCAGCAGCATAGACTAGCTGGGTAGCATCAGTGGGGCTGGGGCGGGGCAGAAGGGAGACAACTTCTGTCTTCCCTTGCAACAGTGTGAGCCAGTAAGTGACCGTGCTCAGCCTGGGAGGCTGTGTCCAAGGAATCACGCAATTCTGAACCTTGGCTTCAAAAAAAAGCATCAGGTGCGTTACCCTACCCCCTTCTGCATCACTCCCTTCCCACATCCCTTGGGGAGCCACTGACCTGGAGGCTTGGGGTCTGGAGTGGGGGAACGGTGCTTCTCTGTAATCTCCCTCTTCGCAGCCAGGAACTAGAGCTGGTGGGAGCTAAGCTGGCTGGCTGGAGGTGATTTGCATTTAAAGAGAAAGTAGCCCTCTTCGGTTCACTGGGAGCCGAACCGGGAAGAATCCTCGTGTTGACTCTCACCGTATGAACTAAGCATACTCTCTTAGATATGTATTTAAAATACTGTTTCTCGTCACGTTTGGAGGGAACCCCTTACAAAATGGTGGTGGCTTTGTGTGCAGGATGGGGGTGATGGGAATAAATGAATGCGTGGGTATAGGCAACATATAAAAATTAGGCAGCAGCCTCCAGAAGAAATAAAGACAGCCAAGTATCAAAGTGCCCTGTTAGATTTTTATGTACATTTAATCTTTATAGTCCTAAAATATAATTGTTATTCCAACTTTATTGAAAATAACCAATCGTCACTCATTCCTGGGCCACATAGCATCCAGACAGTCCTAGCTGGTGTTGAAGTGTTGAAGAACCAACGGGATCTCTTCTCACCTATGTAGGGAGAACCAGAGCAGTAGGAGACCTGGCCACCTGAGCTCCTGAAAGAGCCTGACCCAGAAGCGTTGATTGATCGTAGTGCCGGCCAGGAGGGAGGCTCCATCACTGCTGCGCTATTTATAGACCTGGCAGAGGTCCTGGCTCAGTCCTCCAGAGCAGCATCCAACACCACAGGAGAGTAGCACCCTAGCCAGGCTGCCCAGACCTGGGAAACACATCCATCTTCCCCTTTCCCTGAGATGACAGCAGGCTGTCCTGACCTGGGCTGGCTGCTGGGGACCCAGGCATGTTGTTTCTGCCAACACTGAATGTTTCCCAGGTAATTTAGACACCCAAACCACTCTAGGAAGGGACAGTATTTCCAGACTTCTGAACACCGAGGGCAAGAAAGAGGGGGACAATGGAGATGGAGAGGTTTCAGGCCCATCACATTGGCAGAGGATCAGAAGCACCTCTGTGGTCCCCACCTTCAGCCCCCTCCCGAGGGGCCAGAAGCTTCAGCAGAGCTGCTTTGCTTGGAAGAAGAGGAGAATCTTTGGGATCAATGTGGCGTACATGGAGTACTAGTCTACCATCTCTGACTAGAGCGGCCAAAGAAAGAGCCTCCTGTGCCCTACCCATGTACTGGCTAACGAAGCCCCTATAGTGCCAGGATGCTGAGCATCTCCATCTTTTCTGCCTAAACCTAGAGAGGAAAGATGCTGGGTGATGCCACCTTTAGGTTCTCTCCTTCAGGAAAGCAGCTGAATTAAGGAACCCAGAAGCCCTTATGCATTCCCCTGATGAAGGCCAATGTCACAGTAGGCAGTCAATGGTATAGACCTTACTCAGCTGTTTTAAACCTTCCTTCAGTAGGCCTAGTTCAAACTTCCTAAGGTGACACCTAAACCCCAGGCATAAAGCTCACCTCTTCCCCCATCCTCTCGAGCACCTTGGAAAACATTCACAGGGAACCCTTTTTACTTTTTTTTTTTGTTTTGTTTTTTCGAGACAGGGTTTCTCTGTAGCTTTTGGTGCCTGTCCCAGAACTAGCTCTTGTAGACCAGGCTGGCCGCTAACTCAGATCTGCCTGCCTCTGCCTCCTGAGTGCTGGGATTAAAGGCTTGCGCCACCACGACCCAGCTCCCTTTTTACTTTTCTGAGACAAGGTCTCATTAGCCATGGCTGGGCTGAAACTTAGAATCTGTAGACCAGGATGGCCTTGAACTCAACAAGATATCTGCCTGCCCCATCTCTGGGATTAAAGACATGTTCTACCGTGGCAGGCACAACTAACAATTTTTTTTTTTGAGTCAGGGTTTCAAAAAAACAGACAGCCCTGGCTGTTCTGGAACTCATTTTGTAGACCAGGCTAGCCTTGAACTCACATAGATCTGCCTGCCTCTGTCTCCCAAGTGCTGGGATTAAAGTTATGCACCGCCATTGCCCAGTTTTTCTTTTGGGGTTCAACTGTTAAATATGGTCATTAAACTTGTCCTTTTCAATGCCTTCCCTACTTAAAAAAAAACCACCCCTTTACTACCAATTACTTAAAAAGTGACATGTATGCATTATATGCAAGCATGTGTGAAGTTGTGCTTTGGGAGCAAAGGATAACGTGAAGAACTCTCTCCGTGTGGGTCCTAGTGAGCCATCCGGCACCTATCCTTCACCCCTTTTTCTGTGAGACAAGGTATCACAATGGCACCCTGAAATACTGCATACAGACCCTCCTGCCTTTCTCTTTAAAGTGTTGTGACTAAGGGCACACCCATCTCTTGAGACAGAGTTTCAGTATATAACCCTAGGTGATGTAGCCCAAGGTAGCCTGGAATTCACAGCAATCACGCCTTTTCCTTGATGGGCTTACAGGTGTGCACCAAACCTTACTGAAATTTTTTTTTTTACTTAAAAGTCCTTTGATGTTATTTCTATACCAAGAGCAGTTCAAACAATCTGTCAGGGTCCTAAACTTGTGGCCAGTAGAAGACAGGACATTCTGGAATATGCAGGATGCCAGGACACTGTTATGGCCACTTGGCTGATCCAGACAAGTCTATAACAACAGAGAGGACTAGGTGGATCCAGAAACATCAAATGATCCAATCAGCAGAGATACAAATAAGGCAACAGACTATTTAATGTGGTGTAAAATACATCGATATCAAGTCCCTGGCTGTTGTCAATACGAAAAGTAGACTTGGAAGGAAAAAAAATCTACAAGAAAAAGAAAATCCTGTCAGCACAACCTCAAACAAGTGTGGGTAGCAGAGGAAAGCAATTATGGGGACAGAGGTGGCCCTCTTATCCCAAGCTGGTCAAGAGGGGCAACCAGGTGCCTGGTGACCCACCCGTGCTACTAAGGCGGGAGGGCTGGGGCAGCACTCAGCAGGCCTCAGCCTCCCTGCAGACACCCGGGCAGCTCCACTGGCCTCTGGTCAGCCCTCAGTAGAGCTAACAAGGTGGGGACCAGGGAGAGTTAAATAACCATCTTTACAGAAACAACATTCTCACACAAAGTGCCTGAGCTCTGCCCATGGTCCAAAAACCAAATGAAAAACAAAGATTTAAAAAAAAAAAGTGCTTCTGACATGGTATACATGAAGATTTCAGCTGGACAAGGACCTAAATATTGGCATAGCCAAGGGCCCTGGGCTCTAAGTCTTATCCACTGTGGTCCTCTAGAAAAAAAGCTAACAATCTTATAAACCAACACAGATCTTGGTCCTAAAATGAGGTCACGTGCTCGGGGCTCACCCATGTGAGGAGGTACTGGCCTCACTCACAGACAGGCCACCTCCCTGCAGCTGGCCCAGGCTCCTGGGCTGACTTTGGAAAGCAGAGCAGCTGTAGTGACTGTTAAGGTTTGGTCAGCGGAGGGGAGGGAAGAAGTGATTACCATCTAGATATTGTCCTGGGTGCCTAGAAATGGAGCCTACAGCCAAGGTTCTACAGATACATTATGGCCTCTTAGCCGACCATGCCGAGACCCGACAGCTGGAACCCCTGCATGGGCTGTAAGAGGTAGCTGAAGTGAGGCAGGCCAATTCTATGGGCCACAGGACCAACAGCTCAGATCTTGGCCTGACATAAGAGCTGTGAGGCCTTACAGGAGCAGGGAGAATACTGATTTCCAAGGGGAAAAATCCTTGGGAAAATCTCACCACCATCAGACCCCAGCTGGAGATGGCACAGCCTCAACACTCCCACAGCTGGGCACCCTGAGTGAATCATGTGCCAGGGTGGTGAGTCTTGAAGTGGGAGTGCCTGGCGTGGGGAGAGGGGCACTGATTTGCAGTTTCTGGTCTTGAACACATGATTATAAGCAGTAATGTTCTAGGTACTTTTGGTTTCTGACGAGGAGTCCTGCTTCTTAGCCCAGACTGGTCTGAAGTTGAGCCTCTTGTCGAGCTCTGGAATTACAGACACACCGACACACCCAACTCAATTCTGAATGTGTACGTGTGGGCTGAGCGGCTGCTAGTCATGAAAGATGAAGGAACTTACAGGATAATGCAACAGTTGAAATACAACAAGAAGCAAAAACTCATTCAATCTTGGCCTATGGCTCACTTAGATCACAGAAGCTGTTAGCTTCCAAGTACTGTTGATCCAGGGAACTGCTGTGCAACCTGGCTAACACACTGGCAGGTGCGCAACAAGAACCTCAGCACAGAGCCGCCACTTGAACACAGGTGTGAGCGGCATTAGGAGGGAAGGCAAACAATTCCCTGCAGCTATTGGGTTCCTGGGATCAGTCTGCTGTTAGAAGTAACTCTTGACCTGCTAGACACCTGAAGATCTGGCAGCAGGAGGTGAAATCCCAAGGACTCACTTTTTGGCCAAGAGGTGCTAGGAATGGCATCAGACTGTCCTCAAAAATCACTCATCTGAGCTGGGGTGAGGGGGCGGGAGAAAAAAAAAAGCCCATAAGCCAAGGGCCATCTGGATCTGGGGTCCAGCAATGGCGGCATGGAGATGGTGATGAATTAGTGGTGGCCTCCCAGGCTGAAACCCTAGGCAAGTTTGTGGCAAGGCCATCATCCTTTCTCTTAGTGATCTTAACTTCCCAACAGGACACCTCAACAGTAACATGGCAAAGGACCCTGGTAGGGTTGCTCCGAATGGGGCACTTGGAGGCCAGGCACCTGGGACCATCGCTAGTGTATCCCTTACCCTTTGAAGATCTTTAATACAAACTCTTATGCAAAACAAAACTACAATAAAACCTCCAAAAAGAATCCTTTGGGTGACCTTATGTCAATCTTTTGTGCAGGCTAGAGGCACCTGTGAATGATAAGGCTACTGAGAACTGAGAAGCAACATTGGCCTGGACGTGGCACTACCAGAGGGCAGGGAACTGGTAGCCTGAAGGGGCTCCTTCCCACACAGTCTCCCCCTGCCCCACCAGTTTTCTTGTCTTAGGCAGGAGGAAGCTCAAGGACCAGTTGTTTCCTACAAAGGCTCTGCCCAGGAACATCATTCCCAGGTCAAGAGAAGCAACAGAACCTCTAGGGGAGTGACAAGAGCCCAAACTGCCCAAGTTCTGCTTACAAA